AATATATACTCATTTTTAAAGTATCAAATTGAATTTTTGTTCAATAAAAATCTTTCAAGTGCGAATATAGCTTTTTTTCTCTAAAACTTTGTCTTCAAAATAACGGTTCATCTTATATTCCGAAAAATACGGTATGTGCCTACCAGTTTCTTTGAGGAATTAACTTGCTAAATGTCTCAGGCAAAATATATTCATGTACATCAGACATTTAATATTTTTAATAAATGAATCATAAAATTACATATACTTCTAAAATTTTGATTTTTTTTTGTGGAACAGAGTGACAAGTCACTGTGAAGAGGTAACGTGTATAGAGTGGGATGTCACAGGAACAAAACTTTTGATAGCTGATTCAGCAGGGCATGTGCAGATATGGATAATGAAGGTATTGATAACTTAATTATCTAGTATAGTATTTCTTCATGACATATGAATATCTGAATCTAAATATTTTAACTTTTGAGCAATTCTTTTATTGAAGAAATCTTATATCTGATTATAAATACACAGATATATTGCCTTAACCCTTTTTGCGCTGACTGTGTGTGTGTACATGACACGACCTTTTACAGAGTGCCATTCAACATAGTATTTGGTGTCAGGATTATCAACTGCTCCTTTACCCTACATTATTGATTTAGTAACAGTTTGTAATAGAGGAGAGTAAATACCGGAACAAGTATATAGGAATACTTGATAAAACTGTAGATATGCATTTCAGAGGTTCCAGATGCTATTTAGACACAATTTACAAACTGTATGATGGGCAAAAGTATTCTTATTCTTCACATGAACATCACCTTGCACTCCAATTTATCAGAGTCTGATTCAGATTGACATAATCAATTCACAGACATATCTTGGGTACAGATATTTATGTAACACATCTGATTTTTTTGTGTACAACAGACTTATATATTTAACTAAAAGCTTGTCAGAATTATAGTAAACATGGGACTTAACACAGGATAGTCAAGTATAAAGCAATTGTGATGTTGGTTAAGCACGTTACACTTTTTACACGCTTTTTTCATATTCATATTGCTCATTCAATCAGAAGTCCTAGCTATTAGGATACAATATTTTTGATTTTAAAACTTAAGAGTGTGCTTTTTTGTAAACAGTGTAAATCTTTGCCAAAAAAAAATTGCTAATACAAAACCACATATTGTGATTTAAAAATTTTTAAGTTTAATATATGTTTCTGATATTTTATTTCTGTGTATGAATAATTAATTTTTCATTTCTAATTTACCATTTATCATATATACACACAAACACACTAGTGAAAGTACCCAACTTCACTCAGGTTATTAGGTTGATATATTCTAGATGACTATGTCAATGTGTATATTCTGAACCTATTTTAGCATAGAAGAACAGTCAAAAACATTTCAAACATATTTTATTTCCCATAAACATGATAAAGTGATAAAGTCATGGTTTTTTGCTAGCTTGCCTCATAAGATGTGCACGCACATAGATAAGTAAAATATTTAGGTGCACACCCTCAGGGTCCACTTAGTATGTGTGTGCAAAATTTCAGGTTTCTAGGTTCTTTCCTCTTGCAACTATGGCATTGACATTATATATATATATATATATATATGTGTGTGTGTGTGTGTATGTATTATGATGAATGTACATTATGTAAATGTGTGTTCTAGAGGTATGTCTTATTTGAGCCATTATAGCATCTTAAAGCATTTTTTAGTACTTACTTGTTGCTTATCTTATTACTTCTATGCTTTAATGTACATTAGGTATCCTTTCTTAATAATTATATTAGGAATTTTTCAAGGCACACTTTATCACATGATATAGAATGCAGCTACAAAGTTCTTATCAACATTAACTCATTATTTGCTTATATTATAATCAGCTTGTGTGTTTTCCAATGTACTTTTTCTGAATGTTGAATAGAACCCACTAAGGTAAATTTCTTATTGTAATTTTTGTTTTCAAGTTTTAGTTCCCTTCCTAATTATCTTTTATTGCAAGGTCTGCATTCTACTTGATCTGAAACAATCAAATTTCCAACAGGTTTAGTACATATGCTTGTCATTTTCCCTAATAATTCTTTGCTGCATAAAGTTTCTAGGGAGGTGGGTAATTCAACAATCTCTCATTGGCTTTCATTATCAATTAAGCCCTTATTTTAGTTTTGCTAATATAAATAGTTAGCTATGAGTCTAGTTTCTAAAGGGTGCATGCATCATGTTTCTTCCAGGTTCTTCCTTTAAACCTTTTTTTCAAGGTGTTATCTAAGAGTACTACTTAGGAAGTTTTAACAGTTTTGTTTAAGGCTTTGTAATGCTTTTTTTCTCATATCAGTAGTTTATTTGCTTATTTTTTATCTTACTTTACTTTTTTTTTTACTTAAAAGTACCTCTTATTTCCTGTAGAAACAATTGGAGATATCCTGGCTGTTCAGTTTTCTGATTTATTGGAAGATTGTTCTAAAACTAATATATATAGAAGACAGCAATGTGAAGTAACTGTCTCACCTCAGTATTCAGTGTTTGTTCAATGTTTAATTACACCTTTTATTGAGTTGGTTAAGAAAAAATTGGGAAGTTTAAAAAATGATAAGGCTCCTGAGCCAAATAATATTTCGGCTAGGGTTTAGAAGGAGGTTAAAGATTGGATATGTGAGCCACGTACTACTATTTTTTGTCAGTCCTTGATAGTGGGCAGGTTCCAGAGGATTGGAAGTTAGCTAATGTAACTTCTCTTTTCAAGGGAGGTGATAAAAAATTGTCCCATAATTATAGACCCATTAGCCTTACATCAGTTGTGGGAAAGGTTTTGGAAAGTCTGTTAGAAGATGCTTTGCAAAGTCATTGAACAAAGTGTAGAATTTTATTGGATAGTCAAGATGGTTTCACTAAGGGAAAATCTTGCCTTAAAAATCTTTTGACATTCTTTAAAAAGGTTACTGCATATGTAGATGAAGGTAAGGGTGTAGATTTGGTGTATCTGTATTTTCAGAAAACATTTGACAAGGTGCCACATAAAAGGCTTATAAAAAATCATCTCTATAGGTGTGGGGTATAAGTTAGCAAATTGGATAGAAGAGTTGCTGGATGGAAGAAAGCAGAGAGTTGTTACAAATGGAGTTCAGTCAAACTGGATTAATGTCACAAGTGGGGTCCCTCGGGACTCAGTCTTAGGACCTTTGCTCTTTTTTATTTACATTAATGACATAAATGAAGGAATAGTCAATAAATTACTTAAATTTGCAGATGATATTAAGGTCTTGGATGTTGCTTGCTGTGAAGAGGATGCTGCTGATTATAAAAGGATTTAGATTTAAATAAATGGCAGATGGGTTTTATTATAGTAAATACAAAATAATGCATGTGGGTTATCATAATTTGAGTTATAAGTATAATTTGGATGGGAATAAACTTAACAATGTTATGAAGGAAAGGGATTTTGGTGTAATATTCAATCAGTCTCTAAAGCCATCCAAGCAGTGTGCTGTTGCTAGTGGTAGGGCAAATAAGATTTTAGGTTGTATCAACAGAAATATTGAATACAAGTCTAAAGAGGTTATAATTTCATTGTACAGGTTAAGCTACATTTGGAATATTGTGTTCAGTCTTGGGCTCCTTACCTTAGGAAAGACATTGAACTGTTAGAAAGGTTTAAGAGAATGGTGCCTGGGATGGGGGGGTGTCATATGAGGAGAGGCTGAAACCTCTCAAATTGTTTTCTCTGGAAAAAAAGAAGAGTTAGGGGGGATCTTATTGAGGTGTTCAAGATTGTAAAGGGAATTGATAGTGTTGATGCATCATCTTTTTTTCATATTTAACAGTGAGAAAGGTAGGACTATGGGACAGAAATACAAATTTTGGCAAGGTAGGAGTCATCTTCAGTTAAGACAGTTTTATTTTTCTAACAGGGTGGTTGGCCTTTGGATGTTGTAGAGGCAGTAAATTTAAGTGAGTTTAAGAAAAAGCTTGATAAGTATATGAATGATAAGGGTTGGCTTTAAGATTTAAAAAAAAAAAGTTTAGAGAAGGGAACAGCTGAGATGGACCAATAGGTCCCATGTTGTCCCAAATGTTATGTTATTCCTTTTGAACACAAAAGTCCTGACCATGTGACAAATTAATCTTCATAAATTAAGTAAGTTTGTATTCTGAACAAAGTTTATGCTGCTTTGCATTTATCTTATGTTAATTCAGTAGTAATTTTTGTATTTCAAATCTGCAGTGTTAAGCTAAAATTAAACTTCAAGTGAATCCATTCCAAGTTTTTAATCTTTCTCCTGAAGCTTAATTGTCTATATAAGAATGGCTTGAGGAGTGATTCAAGTAGGTTATGTTATATTCATGCATACTGTAAACAATATGGAAACTTCTTCGTATATTTCAATTGATTTGTGTGTTATTACTCAAGGGGTCTTTCAGTGGGTACAGTGCAGATAGCCCATTGTTCAGCTTTGTGCTTAAAACAAAAAAGTTGTGAAACTTTGGTTTACTAACTCTATATATTTGATGTAAATAATTACTACATTATATATGGTGTAATTTGTTTTTCTAGGATTATCTTTTAAATGAATGGACACAGCTTTCAATGACATCATTTCCTGGTGAAAACATTCTTAGTATTTCCTGGTTTCACAATGGTAAAAAGGTAAGGCAAAAGTTCATTTTTACAAAAAAAAGGGTTGATGTTTCATTTTATCATTTACAAGATGTTTCATGGAAACCAAAGTTTTCGATGGGAGTACTTAAACGTAAAAATATATTTAGTGATTCCTTAATTAGGGACTGGCATACAAGTTACTCAGTATCTCACATAGCACAAAACATTTGGAAACTTGATATTCTGGATGTGATGCCTTTTCAAACGAGAAATACACCACATCAGATGCATGACAACATGATGGTTTTATTTTATAAAAATTTAATGTTACCTTTTTACATAATTGGTTTTAGTTAACAGTATAAAATTTCAGGCATTTCGAGTTATAGTAAAAGAAGGTGGTGAATATTTTATATCAGTCAGCACTGACGAGATCCATATATTGCATCATACTGAGTAATTTTTATGTTTTTGCATGTTGTAGCACTCAGTATAAACAACTGACAGAAAAATTAAGTGAAATCACTTATTTTCTCTAATATTGATGGTATTTTTGTTTACATTTTTTGTGTGGCATATACATTATTAGGGACCTGTAACCAACAAACTTGTGGACATGTTAACAGTTTGGTAAATAAATAGTTTTGAAAAATGTGTTTAGAAAGCCTATTATTACTAATTTAAAATGACACTATAATCCAACATTTCTCTCTCGAGACTTTATGCAAAAGTAAACCTCTTATTGAAAAAAGTAAATTAATACTTAAAAAAAATATGTTTTAGGCATGCATATAATAATGGCCAGTACATACTTCTTTTTGCATGGAAATACAAAAATCATCTAGTGTAATAAAGTCTTTGTTAACACATCTTCTACAATACAGCTTAAAAATAATCTTAAATAATGTAAAAGTAGTTAATTGATAAAATAACTTTTTCTTTTCGTAAACTTAATAGATTTTATGGTATACTGTGAGCAGTTTATATCAGAGTAGATAATATTCAGAGTTAATTGTGTTTTTGATATTTACATGAAGCCAACATGCTAGATTAAAGACCATGTGTCGGTGAATTTTCCAAATTGCAAATGTTCATTTCAGTAGCTAACTTAAGCATGTTATATGATTCTCTTCAAGAACTTATACAATGGCAACTGTCTAATAAATGAATAGCCAATTATGCTTTGTGATGGTTCCATTGAGCCACATCAGTTTACCTTATTGTATTACTCACAATTTTGGGATAAGCTAGGCCTGTACTTTTAATCGTCCTCAACATTCAAATTTTATACATGATCGCCACTTCCTTTTTTTCCCCCACAGTCTAGTAATTCAGATGAACCAATAAAGATTCCACTTCTTTCACGGATGCCACAGCTAAATACTCGGTTGTATTCAGTCATTATTTTTTGACGTTGTATGTTGCCTTAAAACTAAGCTGAAAGGCTTGTTGAACTGACAAAAATGTTTGCTGCTACTGTACATAACCCATCTGTTACAATTTATTTATCAGAGGTTGCTAGCCTTTAAAATATTATGTTTTTAAACATGTTTTCTAAAAATTTGCATTTTCAACCATAATACTTTTTTATGTATTGTATCAAAATAGCTAATTTTCAGTGTAACATAATTTCAATTTAGCTAAATTAACGTGCAACCAATAATGTGATAATCTGAAGTGCCTAGTACCAAAACTTCCGAATACCATATACAGAAAAGTGGCATATGAGGTACTGGATATGTCTAAAGCTATACATTAAGCTTGTGCATTGTTGAATGCTTAGAAATAATGAAAGATATGTCCACTTTTCAGTCACCTTTTGTAGCAATACTTTATACACTTTTCCAGACAATTCTGTATTGTTTTACATATTCATAAGCATATTTACAATAATATTGGAGTCATATGTTACTGAAAATGCAATATTGTTTAATGTAAAATGAACAAATTTTAATAGGCTTGTTTCTTTCATGACACTGTTGGCATAAGTTTTGTAGTATAATTTTCTGTGTTTGTAAAGTAAGGCTTGTTAAACATTTGGTACTACTTAGTTGAATTTGAGACTCTTAAATGGTTGGATTAGTTTGTTTTCTGTTTTTTATATTCCAATTACAGTTAATGATATTTTGATTGTAATTGTGAATCATCCTTCTGGATATTTATTTATGTAAAATTCTACTTTACTCTTGTTTTTTTTTATTGTCACCAAGAAATAGTTGTAAATTTCTCTTTTACTGCAACATCATATTGAAAGTTCTAAAACTATGCCTGTCCTTGTGGTCAGCAAGAGCATTAGCTGAGTTTAAGAATGAGGTCTTCTTTTGGGTTCAAGTAAAGAGGGTTGGGTATGTTGTGGTAAAATCATTTTTAAGCCTCATCATCTCCAGTTATGCTGTACCTGACAGATATGCATCTGTTTTCTATAATCGAACTAGTATATAAGGATGACAGTTTCTCATAGCAAGTTTCAACAGTCCAATTACACAGAAATCCATAGGCATTACATTTAGTAACTTTACAAAGTACATCTTTGTATAGAATAACATGAATACCAGTTTCATTCTTGCTTGAGGTATGCAATGGTTGAATGAGAGATGTGACTAGAATCCTTATCATGGCAAATCCCAAAATTGTTGGCCTCATTTCCAAATGAAGATCCTTCTTGATTATGTTGCGTACTGTTGCTTGGGGTATTATTATATCATTGACCTTTGTTGTGATGGAGTGTCACTTGTTATAAGATGCTGCACTTTGCTAAATTATCATGACTTTGGTACAACTTGTTTCTTATCTTTTCTTGTTTGCATTTATTGATATTGTAAGGCTTTTAAATTAAAATCACTTCTTACTTCACAAAATAACACAGCTAACAGTTTGCTTTGTTTTCATACTTATAATTTCAGATTGGTCTCAACATGGAGAAAAAAGACAGTCCTTTGTTTCTTGAGAAATACAACTACATTCCTTTTGGACCATCTGTTCGTCAGTTTGGTGGTCGGCCTTGTGAAGGCTGTATTGTAGTTTGCAGCACAGGTTTGGTAAGTGTTTGTCCAATAATCACTTTTCTTAGTATGTTAGTGTCAGGCGTGGCCCAGTGTGTCAGATAAAAAAAAAACACTTGCTCCATACTTTGGGGCCATGGATGCATTTTATGAGTGACTGTAAAATTTCACTATTTGGTCTGTCAAAAGTATCCCGAGAGTTAGAAGTAGGTGATGTTAACTAGCTACCTTCCTACTAGTCTGCTCTTCTGTATTAGACAGCTGTTGCATATAGTCCTCAAGTAGCTTTACATAAAATTCAACAAAGATGTATCACATATGATGCAACACAGTTAAACGTTAATTCTATTTGACAAGAACTTGCACAGATGTTAGCTTCTTGACTATTTTAAGAGATATGTTAATACCCATAAGGTCAAACTAGACTAAGGGTTAAAGTTGTGAAAAATAAATGCATTTCACTCCTCATCCCAACATGAAAACTGGCCATAAAATATAGAGAGCAAAAATACAACAACGATCAATACTATGATTATGTGATTGAACTCTGGCTCTTGTAAAAGTAATTAGTGTTGGGAAGTGGTTGTACATGTATATAGCAATTAAACATTTTTTCAACACAAAAGTAGTCCACTTTGGGGAAGATATGTACTGTAGGCTATGGGAGCCATTTCAGCAGTCATTTTTTCTAAAGAAAAATACAGTTCATTATTGACATACTTACTGCAAGTTTCAAAATGCAGTATTTTCCCTTGGAGCAACTAAAATCTGTCTCCATTGTGAACAGAAATCTAGACAGCTCAAAGGTGGGTGTAAGAATCCATTATCCCAATGCCTGTAACTACAAAATTTTGAGTTTGTATTACCATGAATTCCGCGTGTACCAACATGGGGCTAGTGCAGTTCTGCTTGCATGAAATATACGTGTATGAGTGTAAAATCCAACTTTATATTTAATTGTAAGAATTTACAAAAATGATACCTCTTGCTATTTTTAGCCACAGATGAGCAGCTCATAGAATGGCTCTGAGTTTTTTTTTTTCAAGTACAGACTTTTAGCTCATAGTTCTGTCATCTCTTGACTGATTTGAAATCCAATTACAGTTTTGGACTCAGGAGGTCAAATCCTTTAAATTGGTGTATTTGACCATGCCCAAGGTCTCATAGATTAATTTATTCTAATCCTGCCCCAAAGAATTTCAATTTGAGGGTAGGATGGTAGAGATTCTGATGATTAATAAACTTGAATCAGGTATATGTGCACCTCACCCTTGGTATTGTTGGTCCACAAAAATATAGCTAATAAAAAAGGGAAACAAAGGTCTCGTAGATTTATTTACTCTAATCCTGCCTAAAAGAATTTAAAGTGCTGTGGCTATTGAGGATTCCCTCTTGTTTTTTTTTCAAATCATTAAATATATTTTGTCACTGAAATTCTTGTATGATCAACAGCCTTTTAAATTTTGAAGGAAGTGGAACTCTCTTTTTTGATTCACTTTGACATTCCAATCAAAAGATCAGGAACATTAATAGATTGAATCGTCAAGAGGCAGAATGTGGTTCTAGACCATTCCACCACAAGTTAACCCCTGTGTAAACGTGATATACAAACACATGAGTGACTCGATTACTAAATAGTAACTTAAAATGTTCAGTTATGTATTTTCGTATTTATAACACTTTCTAATCTACTTGATTATTTTTGTCTGGGATTAGAATAGTTATATATGAGATGAACAACTGAGCTTGAGCAAAATAACTCAGACTACTCGTTCAGGAATCTGCAGTCTCTTTCCTTGGCACAACAGAAAAGGGTGGAATGCTCAGAATGCTGGTCAATCCAGTTACAGTTTAAATGCAAAAAGCTGGCAAAGCATTGGAAATTAATAGACCTAACATTTGTAATTCAAAGTAAAAATAGCATTAAAGATCTACCTTTTATCTCCCACAAGCTACTGTCAAAAAAACCTTTCATTCAATACCAGAACTTATCAGTTGGGCTGGACGATCAGAGAGAGGTTTTTACGTGTTATTAATATGTATACAAGACTTTAAAAGTTATGGTTTAAACACCAAAATAATGTGGAAAAAATCTGCAATTTGTATTCCCTCTAATCTGGAATCTGAAGTGGACAAATAAAGAGGAATATGTAAAATATATAAGAAGTTTATGGGATTTTTATCACAAATGTTAGGCCTGCTGGATAACCTGCCCAAAGATTTTAAATTCTTATGTACTTAGAATTAAATGATATTATTTTTGATACATCAAGAATACCAGTCTGTCATATATGTAGACTGGTTAACCTGTCAATAGGTTTTACATGTGTTTCACTCGTGCTGTAGTAAATCACATTATTTTTAGTTTTATAATACTGTGGAAATCTTCATTGCATATTGTATATTTGCAATATGTAATTATTTAGTCATTACAGTGGGAGAAAAAAAATATTCGGGCTATCAGAATTTCAGTTTGTGCCAGTACATTGCTCGTGTCTACTAGTCTTGGGCTAGTACTAAAAAAATTTACAACGCTGAAGGAATGAAAAGCTACAAAAAAGTTTAAAAATTTCATAAAAGGCTTTCAAAATTGGTTGTATGGTGTGGCTAAGTGTTGTTTAACACAGTTGAAAATAAACTCACAAATGGAAAAAGTGAAATGCTTGTCTAATTCTAATATCTGCTGTGATATAACTTGTTAATTATTTTACAAATATTTGTAAGTATTTTAACCTTCAAACTTTTTCTCTTCCATTTAGTTACATATAGGTTTAATTAGCAAGAAGTCATCATTAACTCTTTAAACCCATAATTTTTTGCTCATTCTGCTGGAATTATTTTCATGATGTCCTAATAATTATCACCAAACATTATAAAATTTTAATTTTCTTAATTTTGTGAATAATAACATGGTTTGGATTACTTTTCAGCCAAAGAGACATAAATGTTATTGGATGCTGTCACCATCTGATGGGTAAATTGGTATTTTTGACTGGACACTTGGGTTTAAGGAGTTAATAATTCATCCGAATTTTTAACATATAGATACATAACTTTCATAGGCCTTGTCTATAATTATATTTAGTCTCTTACTTTAGGACCAAGTATTTCTGCTAAGTTATTTCATTGATTCCACACTGACATTTCTAAATATTGATGCAAAGCAAGGATCGAGGAGAGTACTGAAACAGTAAATTCATAAAATTTCATATTTTTCTTTCATTGTTACAAAAACTAATAAGGAGACTTGGTTAAAACATAATAGCTATGTGCAATAAAATTTGGGAACTGGATGACAGCATTATATATAAGCAAGTTTGATGAAACAGGTTGATTTTATAAATTGAAAATGAAATTAAACTTAATTCCTTCACTTGCTTTAGTGTGATTGCTGAAATAGACGTGTTTAGGTGTTTTTGAATTTTAGGTTTTTTAGCTCAAAAATTATGAAAGCTCTGAACTACTACCCTCAGAAACATTTAATATTCTTTTGTTTATTAAAGAAACATAGTTTGTAGCAGTATTTTAGTATGTTTACAGTGTTTTTGATTCAGCTAAAACTTCTGTTTTTTTTTTAACACTTAGGTTGGGGTGTTAGTGCTTCAGTCGGAAGGTAATATGATCACTGGGACAGATATACTTGGTCAGTTCAGGACAAGGCTTAAAGTTGTTGATATATGTTGTGCTAAAAGTAAGTGATTTAAAATTTATTTTGTTTGACTACTGTCTAACATTTGCAAGAATAACACAGGTTTGTTAATTTAAACTTCATAAAAGTTGTTTGGTTTTAATAACCGATTTTCCCTAATTCAGCTATGCAGATTTTGAAAATAATATTCATTTTTTTCTATCATGTAAAGATTTTTTAAAAATTGGGAAGAAAAAAAACTCTTACTTAGATCAAATTATTATTTTGTTTACCACAATGAAAATTTTTTTATTATGTTTGTTGACAAAAATACAAACAAGCTGAAGGAAAAGGAAGAACACTGATGTCAAACGAATATGCATCTTCATTCATCCTAATTTTTTTTGTGAAAT